AGGGTCGGACTCCGACCTTCGTGGATTTCCAGGCGTTCCTCGAGGATCGCTTCGGAGCCCGATACGACGTGACTGACGCCTTCGAGCGTGTCGTCACTACACGCTGGTCCGGCTCTGGTGGCGCTGCCGGCCTGGATCGCCACATCCAGGTCTTTCAAGACGCCCGCCTCGTTTGCGACGTGGCGTTCCTCCCCGAGGCTGCCCTTATCGATCGTTTCTTGGCCAGCCTTCCGCTCGAGTACTTCTTCGAGCTATGACGGTACGAGTTCACATCGGCCCCACAGGCTTACGAGGCCGCCAGGGACCACCAGCGGATGCGAGCCCGTCTTCACCCCGCCTCCTCCTCCCAGCCCCAGTGCACGGGCTACGCCTCCTCCTCCTCTCACGGCACTTCCCAACGCCGTTCCCCTTTCCGCGGTCGCCCCCGCCGTTCCACGCAGCAGGGCCGCCACTTCTCGCGCTGCTTCAGCGCGTTGGAGTATGGTGAGCAGGACGCTGTTGCCCCACTGTCATCTAAGGGAGACCACAGCGACGACCTCGATCTCTGCGAGGCCGTCCACTATCACTTGGAGGACTCTACCCTCCCTGCAGCTGAGCGCCTTCAGCTCGCGCTCTCTGCCCTCTCTCCAGCACGCAGCCGCCCTGGTCACACTGGCGCATCGCCCCCCGAGGTCCCTCAGGAGGACCTCCCTCAGGGCTTCGTCCCTCCTCGTGGTGTCCTTTCCCCTGAGGAGCGCGCGGCTATTCTGGGCCGACGTGGGTGTTTGCGCTGCCGCTTGGACGGTCATACCTCCTCGCGGTGCCCTTACACTACCGCCCTCGACCGCCACTACGCTGACCTTTCTCGTCAGCGTCGTGCTCAGTCCCCCCCCGGCTCCTCACGTCCCCGCGGCGCCTCCTAGCCACGGTGAAGTGTACACCTGCGCCCTCCTCAGTAGTGGGCTTTCCCTCTCGCTACTAGAGTTGAGGTATCGCAGGACTCGACAGAGTGTACTCAGCCCTCTGTCGCAGTACCGTCTGCACCTCCGCAGACCACTGTCTCCCCTCCTCCCCCGCCGCGACTACCGACGCGTCGAGCCATTCGCTCAGCCCGTTGCAGCGAGCAGCTTGCTACTCGCGAGGACGTTGTGTCCTCTCTTCTGGACTTGAGCATGMTCCAGGCTCGTCAGGAGCGACTCACCCTCCATGTCGCTGCACTGCGTCGCCTTCTCGCCATCCTCTCTGACCCTGATCGCACCCTCCCGATCATCCCCGTATGACTCGGGACCTCCACGGGGGTGTACTCAGCGCTGTGGGATTCCGGTTCTCAGGGCGACTTCATTCACCCACGCGTGGTGAAGGAAGCCCGCTTACCCACGATAGGGTCTCCGACTCCCATCTCAGTTACCCTAGGGGATGACAAGACCCAGCACTTCTTCAATCAGACGGTCACCGACCTCCCCTTCTTCCTCACTCTCGAGCCGACTGAGTGTTCCCCGACGTCTTGTCGTCACCGCTCCTCTGCACATTTCGATGTGATGGAGACGGGGTACGACTTCATTCTCGACACTCAGTGGTCTCGTCGGTTCTGCAGCACCGAGGCCGATTGGGCGACCAACACTCTCGTTCTCAAAACAAAGTGTGGACAGACGTATCGCGTACCTTTCATAGGTACCACGACGACACCACGCCCCGATCCTCCTCCCCCGGAGCCTTCAGTGCCCACACCATTTCCCTCTATCACTATCACCTCGCCTCGGCAGTTCGCTCACTTCATTCGACAGGACGACGTCACCTTTTTTATGGTGGACGTGACGGATCTCTTACATTATGATCCACTCTGTCCCGACGCCGAGCTCATCCCTCTGGAGCCAGATCCTCCCTCTATCTCCATGGCTCCCATCTCTACTTTCGTCCCCCCGCTGTCCGTCGAGTCCACCCCGCCGTCGCGCGCTGATGCTGATGCTGAGGAACTCGCACGATATACGGTTGACTTGGAGCCCGCAGTTCGTGACCTCATCCGAGAGTACCACGACGTTTTCCCATCGTCGTTCTCGTACGCCGGAATCCCACCGATGCGTGACGTCGAGCACTCCATTCAGCTCGTGCCTGACTATCGTGTTCACCACCAGGCACCCTGCAGACTCTCGATCCCCGAGGCCACCGAACTCAAGCGTCAGCTTGAGGAGCTCCTGAGACTGGGTTTCATTAAACCCAGCAACTCCCCGTGGGGTGCACCCGTCCTCTTTGCTCGCAAATCGGATGGAAATCTTCGTCTCTGCATCGACTACCGCGGCCTCAACCGCTACACGGTTAAGAACARCTACCCCATGCCTCGTTCCGATGAGCTGTTCGACCACCTAGCAGGCAACCGCTTCTTTACGAAGATTGATCTTCATAGCGGTTACCATCAGATCCGCGTCGCTGCAGCCGACCAGCCGAAGACCGCGTTCCGATCGCGATTCGGCCACTACGAGTTCACGGTGATGCCATTCGGCCTCACCAACGCACCCGCTACCTTTCAGATTGCGATGAACGACATCTTCAGGGACATCCTGGAGCAGTACGTTCTCGTCTACCTCGACGATATCCTGGTCTATAGTCGTACCCTTGAGGAACACCTCAGAC